CTCATTCCTTCTTTATTTATGAGTTTGGGAAAGTGACGTGATGTATAGCTGTAGTTGTAGCCCCGTAAAGAAGAATGTCTGGTTGTTAGGGGAAGACAAAACAACTCGAGAGGGGGATGAATATATTTCGGCGAATATGTGTGTGTCTTTTTAAATTTTCGCATACGGCACGCTTTGTGCAGCAGAGAGTTTCGAATAGGCGCTGTTCTGTTGTGTTCTCTATGATTCGTTGTCCTCACGTCTCTCATCGGCGGGTGTCGTGTCTCTCTTTGTCGGCAGTCTCTCCGGGCTGCATTTGCATCGTCGTGAGGGATGTGAGAAATAATTGTAGACTAGCGTCTTAGCGTTATGTACTTTGCACAAAGTTCAGTTGACCAGTTGCACCATCAAAACGAACAAATTTTCAGGCCCTCTTGTGATTGAACTATCCATTTTTGAAGTGAAATTACATCTTTCTCCTTTTGAATGGTCATTCCTGTCATTTTTCCTTTCGTTTTTCGCCATCTCATCGCGCGAATGATTGATGTTTGGCGTGAGACTACCAAGATCAGGCGGCGTGTACGGTACTTCCAGAAATTGCGCGTGTAATTAAATGTGTCATCTCCGTAAATGCATACGATTGGCATACCGCAAGCCGGTCTAATTACCCAAGTTCATCAGGAAGGAGCTCAAGGGTAAGGTCAGGAAGCGAAAGCGATGCTAATTCCGCGGGAAGGACCATTCAGGTGGACAGTTTTACGCGCAATCTCGGGTACTGTATACAATCTGTTCTCCTAAACCTATAATTTAGTGTGAGACCAGAGGATGAAGTGATTTATTTCCCCAATTTTTTTCTTGTGTTTGGCATTTTTTTTCCTGGCTCAGCTGTTTACACAAAGTCTTATTTGAATGTTGACGTCATACTCAATATCACTTTTTCCTTCGTGTGTGCGAATCCTTAGTGCGATGCTTTTTTGTGGATTCTCTGGGGAATTCCTTAATAGGGCTGCTAGACTGCCAAATAGAAGCTAATAGTCGGAGAAACATGCTTTTTTCTGATCGATTACTTTTCTGCAAACATAATGGAAAGTACAAGAAACGCAGCATTTATTGGAATTTTGCATCTTTGCATTCGTTATTTAATTTAATTGCAAATTGCAGCAGCTGTGATGGGAATTGTTTAACCATCTGCATCTGTCCATCCTATAATGATTGCTGTTGTATGTTGTAGGGGGGGGGACTAAGTTTGGCGCGGTGCCAACCCGTTCTATACCAAAGGTTGGAGCGGCTAAGCGACAACAGTTGGTGGAGAACTGGCTGGCGCCATGCCAAATCCACTTCCCTGACACGCCTCAGCATCTGCAGCGAACAAAACTGTAAAGCATGTGTTTAGGATTTGGACGATGATCCGATGAGCGGTATGATGGTGAATGGATCAGCCGCTGACTCCGCCCAACAACAACAGAATACGCATCTTTCATTATTGCAAGAAGTGGCCGAGTTGAAGAGCAACTTTGTTTATATCTCACATCAGGTATATATCGTAAAGGAACTTATTTTTGGGTTTCAGGTGGCTATGGGCGAGATTGGTGGGGTGGGTAGGTAGGGGGGCTCTCTGCAAATTCCTGTCCTTAACGAGCAGTTTTATGAAGTCTTTTAAACTCTTGTAAAGTTCCTGTAAACATTGTAAAGCTACGAAATTGTAAATATGTGTTTCTGGCGGAGATGTGGTTGTCATGAATAAGCAGAACAGGCGAGGGAGGGGTGGGCGGGGGGAAGGGAGGGGGTGATCCATGAGGGACGATTCTGATTTCGGGTTAGGTGAACCGCTTTTCATAAGATGCGGAAACAACTTTTGCGCTAGAGAATTGGTTCATCCATCGCCTCAGGATATCTGTTCAACGCAAAGCTTTCCTCTTTGCTCCTTACTGCTCCTCCACTCTCCTCCCTCTTCTTTATTTCACTCCCTTCAGATGTTCGGCTTAAAGATTCAATAAGAAAATACCTCTGAACCCTCACAGCGAGAGAATATATCGGTGACCAAAGCCCAGTCAGGGTACAGAATCGTTGTGTGAAACACCTACGAGAGGTCGTACTTTTTGGCGCTGGAGGAGGTCGTTCTGGGTCGTTGCTGGAGAGGAGACGGGAGAGTCGCACGTGGCTTTGAGAGAAATTTGCCGCGTTGAGAAAGAAAATTTTCCCGGTCGTTGACTTCCGTTTCATGTGTACTATATACCTGCTGGGGAAGGTGGTGCCGAAGGGCTGGGGAGGAGGGCGTCGTACCGAAACCCTCCCTCGAGAGGGAGGTCGTACTTGCACCACCATTTCACACATCACGATGCTGTGCCCTGAGCCCACTAACCATTCGTCCATATCGAAGCTAATCCGCCTAGACATGGGCAGAAATTCCTAACTCTTGGCTCACAATCGTTTCTTCGCACCTCCTAGTGCTAAATGTCTCCAACGTCTAGGAAAAACAAGAGAAATGGTCATGCAAATAAGTCGCCCCAATTTAATAGCTTTACAAAGATTTTACAAAATTGACCGGTATGGTGACAGGTATTTGCAGAATGGCTCCACCCCTTTTAGCGGGTCTATTTCTGGTTTTATTTGGTATTTGAATACTGAATGAGCGAAATTGAGTTGTATGTTAGGTGTTTGGTGCACAGAAGTGAGCCCTATCAGTTAGCTGGCATGAAACGAGCAAGTCCGTAAACTCATCTGATTAAAGGACTTGTTTTGCAATGTTGGCATTTTTTTTGCAATTTGTTTCGTTTTTTTTTCAACGCTTCCTTGGTGGAAATAGGTCTGAAATGTAGAATGGCGAGCCGTAAGAAGCGCACATTTGAAATCTTCTTTTTATTATTATGGGAAGACAACAGGAGATCATAGAAAATCTGTCATAGACTGGAAGTTCCCTCCTTCCCCCACCCCGCCCTACCATCTATTTACAGGGAACCAATTTTTGAGATCTCTTTATCTAGAAACGTAAACAAGGCTGGCAGATTTGATGACGTCAGCGCTGCCTAATGCTGGTCTTCGAATTGCGAAAAGCGCGAGCGGAGGGCATTTCGTGTCAGTTCGTACTGTAGTGGTAGGCGAGGTGTGGTGTGGTGTTTGTATAGAGAGCGATATTCGAAAAGATGAAAAAATCGCGGTCGTCGCCGACGATTGCCAGTTTGAGCGGGTTCCGTAAAGGTTTGTATGATTGCTTGCGCAAGAAATTCCTTTGAAATTTGCATTTCCTCACAAAAACCATGAGTAAGAGTACTAAAAGTGCAGCCTATAAAAGTAAAGCGCATGAATCACGTTATGTTTTCGCAATGTTTCGAAATATGGAATTTGGAATCTTGTTGAACCCGGGGACATCAATAGGCTTGCGCAACATTAGTGGGCAGTGCGAGGAACAAGGCGATTCCCCCGGCTGTCCGCCTGGATTCCCCCCGCGCCATGAATGTGAAATCAATTATTTCGAATAGATCGGCAAAAACGATAACCTCATTTCCGCGAAATGGGTATTATTGGACTCCGGATAGTATTAAATAGAAAAAAAAGAGTTTTGTGAGAAGAGTCGACAGGCTACGATCAGGCAGCAGGGGCTATCGGAGTGCAGGTATTAGTTTCTAGGGTACGGTTAAGCTGCTGCTTGGCTATTGAGGGTTTCAGGGCTTTTGTCAACCCGATACTCTCTTGCTGTGAGGGTCCAGAAGTATATTTTCATCGCGTCTTCTGGTCGAGCATTTGGAGGAGGACCATGAGGGCTAGGGATGAGAGAGAGGGAATGAAGAAAAAGAATGGAGGAGGAATGGAAAAGGAAGTTTGAGGAAGGCTACGCGGTTGACAGATACCCTGAACCGGCTCTA